AGTGTTTTTTCTGGCACATTTTTGTGTGCCGGACTTGTGGATCGGAGTTGGTCAGCATTTGCTAAGGGGTGTTCTCTGCCACAGAATTAGACCTGATCAAAATTAATTGGTATGACTTTCTATACTAGAACTTGTGCTAGATGGAAGGGAAAAGGAATTTTAGCTCCTTGCTGTATTATTTTGGGTTAAACTTTGCTAAGATTTGATCATTATATTGTTGTGCTGTAGCTAAAATGTTGCTTCATTTTTAATATCATACATTTATAAGCCACACAAAACCCAACTGCAGTCCCGCAGTTACATCAGACCTCAACTTTGACTCTTCAATCGCTAGCTCTACTGTCACTCTGCATAGCCAAAAAATTAATTTGAATTTTGTTGTTTGTTGTTTTTTCTGTTGCTCTTTTGGGATACGCTCGTGTGTTGCAGCGTCATACTTCCTGTGGCAGAAGAAAAAGAAGCGAAGGCAGGGGTCGGGGCAACTTGCCACATAACACACTTCCCTCTGACTGACTCTCCAGACAACTCAACAAATTGCATTTTAATGCAACTTTCCAAATCAATTTTCAAAACCAAACAGCGACAGCGTCACAGAGCGGGAGCGAGGGGAAGGCAAGCAGCGATGGGAGCAGGGGCCACAAAACAGCGTTGGCCTGGCCAAAAGGCCAATATAAAGATAAATAAAACTTAAGTCTGCCATGTGACAGTTATGGATGGGAGGGCTGGGGCTGGCAGTGCACAACTCTGGCACAGTCCGGACCCTGAAGCTGCAGCTGGAGTCCTACTCTCTTGGATCCCAAAAATAACGAGTTGCTTGTGCGATAAAAAAATCTAACTTTAATACGAATTAAGATAAACAAATAATGAGGCATAGATACGGATACGGATCGGAGAGGGGCACACTCTATGTCCCCGTATCTGTATCTGTTTCGAGTATCTGCATGTGGCAATGGAGACCTCTAGGGGCCCAAGCTCAAGTGACAAGTGCGCGCCTAGGTCTGGGCTTTTGACATTTCTTGAATACGATATCCGAATGATCATCATGACGATGACTCTGCGCTGACTTAAGGGGGATTTGCATTGCTTGTTTATGTTTTTGGTTTCATAATGCTGCCCCTGCCCCCAACTGTTGTACGGATGAAACCCTATGCCTAATAATAGGGTCGTCTTTGAAATGCATACGCGAGAGCGCTGGCGAGCCGGCAAAATGGATGGAGTGCCATGCGATTGTCGGGGGCGTTAGCCATGGTGCAAAATCTAGAGCTAAAGTTGATCTCCATCTTCTGTTGGCTGTTGGCTGTTTGCTGTTTGCTGTTGCCAATGCTTGACATTTATGTGAACCCAAGCCAACAATAACACGTTGGTGTACCTCCTCGGTACAGGCAGCATCAGAGACGGAGACCTCCAGTTCAGATGAGTAGAGTGGAGCGGAGTGGAGTGAGCCTAGACAGAACGTTCGTTCAGAGACCGCGACACGACACCAACCCAGACCCAGAGATGGAGATGGAGACTGAGAGTCAAAAGAGCCAAACGATCGTGGGCAAAAAGGCAAAGTCAACTCTTTCCGAGTCATGAATCTTATGACGCCTACGTGTACTTTTGGCATTTGGCATGTCAAATACAATAAGTACAGCGGCGACGACGACTACGACCGACGTCGGGAGGGATTACGGGTATCGACGGCGAAAGGGAAGAGTACATCTAAGACCCATGCCACACCGAAGATGGAGATGGAGATGGAGCACCCCAAAACGGTTGGACGCCTAGTAGGTTCCAGTTCCAATTTGAGTTCGTCTCTGGGGTTCAAAACATTGTTGGGCTGCGTTTGACAGCTTCGTTTGTGGCTTTGAATTTCGTTGCTAAGGGGAGACATTCCTTTCCTTGTCATTAGCTGACAGAAACTAATTCGCTCCAAATAAGTTCACGGGAATTGCTGATACTTTGACAGGGCAAATGTTTGTCTTATTTAACCACAAAAAGATTGCAAGTGAGTCAACCCAATGCAAACTTTCGGTATAAATACATTCTTGACAGCTAAGCTACTCTGTGAGAGGAAGAACGTAATGTTAATATTTGAGGACGGGCTGTAGAACAGTGGAAATTGAGAGCCTGACAATGAGAGAGACTCAGAGATGGAAAATAATAATTTGTTGGGTATTTACTTTATTTACAAAAGTGATATTTATTCATTCTCGAAGCTGATCCATCTCATTGATATTCCTCCACTGATATGTTTACCAAAGAAATATATTGGTGTCCAACTAACCAACCAAAGATCTCCCTTTGCAGTCCAATTATCCTCGCCCAACTAGTGCAGCCAAGATCTTGTGTTGCCATCTACTAGCCATCTATCCAATTTCTAACCTCCACTTGGGTTACCGCAGCTACATTCCACAGTGCCACGCAGTGCCAGTGCCCCCTACTCTGCAGCAAAGTCAACCCACCTGCTACCTTCGGTCCACTTAATCAGCGAATAATTCATGACACAAATTCTGGCATGCAGAAAAGAGCAGAAACGAGGAAGGCGATAGCAGAGAGAGAGAGAGAGAGAGTCGAAGTTGTCCCTCCTGTAGCTCGTGTCGCTGATCACGCATAGAAATTATTATTGTGCTTTAATATAGCCATAAATCTGTACATTTAAAATGCAGAAAATATCGCATCCTGCTGCGAGAGTCGAACCAGAATGGGACTCGGACTCGGACTGGGACTGGGATGGGGATTGGCATTGGCCCCCAACTTATGACTTCATCTGCATTTTTATGGCGAATGCGAATGCTCTGGCGATAATAAACCCTGGCCAGGCCTGGCCATAGAGATCGAGAGCCGTACCCAAACCGAACCGAACCGAACCGAACCGCCACCCATGCGTGGTCTCTCCTACCATCTACCCCCCCACCCAGGGACCCTGGAGGAGTCTAGGCTGCCGACTGGCTGGCTGCTTCTCTGAGGCAATATCAATAACACTTGCAACTCTGTCTGTGACTGCAACATGATGCGACAACGTCGCTGTTGCTGTCGTTGAGAGGCTTGGACAATGTCACTGAACCAGTTCTCAATGTCTTCATATAGATTTCCACCAAGGCACAGCCTCAGCCACAGACTGCGAGGAGAGTCAACCTCTGCACTAAATATTTACAACCTCCACAATATCTCAGCGACCGACAACAACGACAACTAAAGAAAAAAAAGAGGTCTGCCTCGTCTTTCTATCGTTAGCCTGGCGGAACAAGTTCATGCAACTGCACCACAAAAGGTGTTCAGGCGACCAAGACAGGCCCAAGAGCGGCCCAAGAGCAAGACCAAAAGCTGGCCAAGTGTCGTTGTGGCCATAAATTCAATTGAATATTACGCCAATTGCCTTTTTGTCTATTGCTGCTGCAAAAAAACAAAAAAGAAATACCTTCGGGGAGGCGTCATCAGCATCTCATTCGCAAATCCTCAACCTCGTTCGTCTGGGGGGTAAACTGGTTCCATCACCATTATCATCGTCATACTGCAGATAGTCAAACTATTTTCAACTCTCGCTGCGCTGCGGTAAGCAGATTTGAGTTCATCTTTGAATGCACGCTAAGCCGCTTTGGGGCTGCTAATTAGGCGACTTTCAAGGCGACTTCATCTCTCTTGCGGGCTAATATGCATCAAAATGTGTCAACACCTAGAGCTCTGGAGCAGGAGTCCGGCTTAATTGTTAACTTCGAACGTGTGCACATACATACATACATACACATGGCGGTTGGATGTTCGTACATGGATGTCTCTGCTATCTGGCGTTGAGACATGATTGCACTAGTTGGAGCAGACGGGACGGACCTCGCGGACCATGTTTTCACTCCATTAACGCGATGAAGTGGAGAGCAGGATCCTGAAGCTGTTGCTCTGGCAGCCGCCTGAACTGGGTCTGGTAATGATGCCTGACGTTGACCGATCGTCGACCGCAAAGCCAAAGTAAAACCTGGCCCCAGCCCCAGCCCCAGCCCCAGTCGCAGTGCCAGTGCCAGTGCCAGCTCCGGCCTAGCCTGGCTGACCGATCAAAAGTCGTTCAACTTGCCGGAACTGGTCGTAAAAGATCACCTGGCCACCATTCCAATGCCAGCTCTAGCTCCAACGACTTCTCCTTGCCTATGTGGAGCATTTTCTTCTTGGACTCGCAAAACGCAACTTCAACTCCAACTCCAACTCCATGTCGAAGCTGAGGCTGATGCTGATGCTGAGGCTGTAGCTCGCGTGGCACAATATTAATGGCCGCCAGAGAGTTCAGCTCCGGCCATGGGGAGTGGAGTTCAAAACCCAAAAACATAGTTAATCTTGTCTCTTCTGCTGCTGCTGCCGCTTTGAGGAGCGTTGAGCAGCCTCCACACGGCAGCACGGTGCCATGCGGTTTTTTGGGTTTTGTTTTGTTACTTTTTTTGGCAGGAAACCCCCTTGAACAAAACGTCTGAATATCAGCGAAAAGTAAACGCAAACGAACGCGTTTATGTGCTGTCGATGTGCCCCTTGGGTAAATGAACTTTGACTGCTGAACGTTGATGGGGTTCAAGAATGCCACTCGCATCCATGTCCAAGTCACTCGCGAAGGTCTCTCTCTCTGTCTGTCTCTGAGGTAACTGCTGGCATTTTGGAATTGCTGATCTTTCGATTTTTGGGTTAGTAAAAAACACTTTTCAAGGTTTAATTTTGGTTCTCAACAGACATTTTACTGCACTGTATGACAGATCCTAAGCGAATGTGGGGGAATGTATTGTAGGAAACTTTATAAATTATATCCCTCAGAACGTTCAATCAACGTTCCCTTTGAACGAGTTTTATTTCCCAAAGTAAACAAAGTTAACTTTCTAGTGGAAGATATTTATGTGTGCCCCCGTCCGATGCTCCATAAACATCAATTAGTTGAAGCCCGTTTCGGGGGAAATCTTCCTTTCTCCAGCGGAATCTCAATGCTTAATCAACTACAAGTGGGGCTGCGGGGGGAGAGAGAATGGGTTCTGTGCTGTTCTGCTCACCTGAACATATTCGGCGCATATATCAATTCCACCCACAAAGCCGCACACATCGTCCACGGACCAGGAGTTCACCTCCTCGCTCTGTGCCTGACACTGACGCGGTCCGCCGCCAGAGGCTCCTGTGCCTGCGTTGGCGTGGGCATTGCTGGTACCTGGTTGGATCTCCTCGGTGTGGTCCAGAAGTGGCGGGGATGGTGTGGATGAGGCTGTTGTCGCTGTCGTGGCCGTGGTGGCCGTTGAGCTGGCACGACGCGTCTTCCCTAGCAGGCCCTCGGGCTCGAGCTTCAAGCGCTTTGCGGCTGGCGGTTGGGAGCTCAAGTCTAATGGCGCCGCCGACGCAATCGATGAGCCACCAGCAGCAGCAGCACCACCACCACCACCACCACCACCGCCACCATCGCCGGGCGCCACCGAAGTCGAAGTCTCTGTTGTGGAACGTGGACTAGACTGCCGCGAAGCGTGATGCGATTGTTGTTGCTGCTGCTGCTGCTGCTGCTGTTGTTGCTGTTGCAGCTGGGCCGAGTAGATGAAAGCGGGTGTAACAAATTGAGCCGCCTGCTGGAGCGCGGCATTCAGAGTGGAACGTGGCGTGCCCGCTGCACTGGCACTGGGCGACGAGGCATTGGAACTGGAACGTGGATGCTGTGAATGCTGCGGATGCTGTGGCTTGCCGCGCAGAATTTCCTGGATTTGGGCATCTTTGACAGCACGCACCTAAAGCGGGTGAGGGCGATGGCGAGGGCGAGGGCGAAAGAAATGGGAAAAAAAATGAGAGGTGAGCTTTAATTTGAAATACATTTTGAACAAATGATAGATAGTAAGGATATCCTCTACTTTGGTTACATTTTAGTTTGTTGGTCTGTTGAAAGTTTCCTGCATGGCGCACACTTTTTCACAGAGTTGCTTAGCTTGCTGTATCCTTGTGTCTTTTATAAGATTTTCCGCATGAAAAGTGGTGGAACGTAATCAATCTATTCTCTATAAATGGATTCCCCTTGTACATATTTTCGAACTAAAATCATTTCCTTTTGTTACAAACTTTAGTACACCGGTACACCCTCCAAACCGTCCACAATTACGGGGTATAATTAACATTTTGGGTGGCCCAATCACAGAGTAGTACTCACCAGCGTCATCAGTGCCTGGGTGCTGCTCATGTCTATCAGCGGCGGGAAAATGGCCGACGAGAAGGGCAAAAAGCTGGACATGAACGGCGAAACACTGGCGGCCGCCACCACAGCGGCCATTTGGCTCTTGGCCTGCTCTGTGGGCGACTGTGCAGCGGCTGGCGGTAGCAACGTTCCAACACTGGCCACAGAGCCCACGCCAGCTCCAGAGGTTCCGGCTCCTGCTCCACCGCTTCCTCCTACACCTCTGCCATCGGCCACACTCACTTTGGTCTCCTTGGGCAGACTGACAGCAGCCGCCGACGCAGCCGCCGAGGGGGACAGCTTCTTGGCCGCATTGCCGGCATTGGTGGGGCAACTGCTGCTGTTGTTGGTGTTGCTGCCACCGCTGCTACTGCTGCTGCTGCTATTGGCATTGCCCGACTTTGTGGTGGAGCTGCTGCCACTACTGCTGCTCTGCTGTGTGCCAGAGGTGGCGACTCCCGGGCCACCGCCGCCTGATGTTGCTGCCGCTGCTGCTGCTGCCGAGTTGCCTGCGCTGCTGCTGTCGTAATAGGAATTGCGTCGTGTTGCATGGTTGCTAAAAAGTGGCAAGACGAGAGAGAGAGAGAGAGAGGGAGAGTTTAGTATTTGGGGCATGGGCCTTGTCAAGGATTCGGCGCTTACTCATTGGGATTGGTGTTATTGTATTTGGCCGCCAGACAGCGCATAATGTCCGAATAGTTGCGGGTGGAGAAATCCGTGGCATTTGTATTGGAGCTCGTTGTGGCATTGCTGCCCGAACTTCCTGCACCACTTCCTTGGTTCACATTGTTGCTGTTGCTTGTGTTGCTGCTGCTGCTGCTGTTGTTGTTGTTCCCACTGCTGCTGCTGTTTCGATGATGCTGCTGCTGCTGCTGCTGCTGCTGCTGCTGATGCTGTTGAATGGTATTCAACAAATTTGTGGACAAATTGTGTAGCGGCATGTGTGTCGTGGTTTGAGCACCAGGGGGACTCAATCTTTGTTGTTGCTGCTGCTGCTGCTGCTGCTGCTGGTGGTGGTTGGGTGAGGCGCCACCGCGAAACGATGACGATGAGGGCGTGGCGCAGCGAGATCTACAAAAGAATACAACAAAAAATTAACATCTGGATTAGTTATGTTAAGGAGAACATTTAGCGAGGCTTTGCATAAGTCCGGGGGTTGAGTGTGTGACATCAGCCCGCATAAATATTACACCAAATATTCCACACACAAATTTGCATTCATATTTAATTCTATTTGGTTCTCATTCAGTTCTTCGCCACCCCCCTTGCCCCTTGCCCCTTGCCAGGTGTCGCATACAATTGGATGATTTGTCATCCAACAACCGATCAGATCCGAGACTTCTCTCTCAGTTCGCTTATTTGACATGCTAATGAGTGGCTTCCGTGAGAAGCACTCCGCAAGAACCGAACCCCTTTGGCACAGGTGTCCACGTTCTACGATCTAAGTCTTGTTGACGTTTGATATTTAGTTAATTTCCATGCGGCATTGGCCATAATGCGATTATGTGCCAGCCAGTTGACATGGGAACCATCCCGTCCCCACGAGGAAAAGGAGTGCTGGCCGACAGGAAAGCCTGGGAGAGTTTACCCGCTGGGCGTTCTCTGGGGTTTAAGTCTTTTGAAATGAGTTGATGCAGAGTTCGCTGGTACTGGCATGAGGCACTGGCAATGCAAAATAAACTGTTTCCTGTTGCAACATAAACTAGTTGTTAAACCATTATCATTTCTTGTTAGTACAGAATTGAATCTTTATAAGAAGCATCTTCAAATAGTTTAAATTCCTTCAATCTTGTTGTAGTGCCTGCTCAAACAACATTTGCCCCGAAAAACAATTTCATTTTGGATGCAACGAAGAATCAAAACCAAATACATGTTAACCAATGTCGAGCATTTGTGGCAAACAATCTGCCAAGCATGGCCATAACTCATATAGAACTACCGCCAGGCCAGGGAGCGAGACATGCCACCAACATGGTGCATGGTCTCTACTCTACTCTACTCTACTCTACTCTACCCACCCATTATCCATTCCTAGAGCTGGACCTGTGGCTTTCCAACACGAGCCACAGCCACAGCCGGGGCTGGCCGGCCGCCCGAAAAAAAAAACAAAAAAAAAAAAGAAACCAAAAATAATCAGCATAGATTTCTGCCTAGATCGGCAGCGGGCCGCCGCCGGTCACCTCCTAAACTGAGCTCGGTGCCGGTGGCAGCTGTGGCAAGTGCCTGGCTAGGAGTAGCAGCACTCTCTATGGGTTCGGTTGCATGCCACACAACCGAAAAAAAAAAAAAAAAAAAAGAGTAACTCGTGCTGCACGTCGTCGTCGTCGTCGTTGGTTGGTTGGTCGTTGGTCATGTCGTGTCGCTTACGCAGGCTGCAGCACAAATTTATATATAGCAGCTATTGGTGGTGGTGCTGCCACAGACCCACCTGCTGCCACTGCCCCACCGCATCCTTCTGTTGCTCTGCCTGCCCCCTCATTTAGCTGCCTCTTGTGCCTCCTCCTCCTGCTGCTGCTGCTGCTGCTGTTGTTGTTGCCATTGATTTATCGTGAACTGTTGGTTGTCGATTTTTTTCTTACTTGTATTCTTGTTGTTGTTTTTTGTTGCGATCATTCGTTGCTTGCCCCCCCTCCGCTGCTGCTTACAACTTTGTTTTTGGTTGTTCTCCTTTTTTTCTGTTTTATTTTTTTCATTTTATTTTTTTTGTAGTAATTTTTTTTCGGTTTTGTTAAAAATGTTGATTATTGCAAATTGCTTTGGCGATTGGTAGCAGCTACTTAGTTGTGTTTTCCAGCCTGTTCTTGGCAATTGTTTGAACAGCAACAGCAGCAGGCAGCAGCACACAGGGGACGGAAAACAGAGGAAAATCCAAGTAAAAAAAAATGGCTTATGGTGGCGATTATGTTGGCTACTGCCTAATGCCAACGGTTTTGTAAGCTGTCGCATGTACAGATAGATCTACAGATCGGTGGCCTGCCTAATTGGTTTTTACGAGCGGCAACATGCGCCTTGTCCGTCTCGATATGCAAATGGTGCCTATTGTTACGCCTACGCAGGGCGCTGCCCCTGCCCCGACCGATAAGTTACCAATAAAAAAGAAATAATAAAACATACATACATATGCTTATGCATGGTGTACAGTGCGACTCAAGAGTGTAGAGCAATTAGGAAAGAAAGCTAAGGAGACAATCTGACATTTTACATAAGGAACTTTAACTTATAGAATCGACATTTTACAGTCTTTAGTCTTGGCAATATATCTAAAAATATTATAATCAGACAGGCTTCCGTTTTTTATTCTTTTTCAAGCACCATAGAATTATGATTAAACATGAAATATTGCTTGCTACTGCCTTACAGTTTTGAATCACACTGTTCGTAAATATTTATGTATTCAAATAGGCAAAATAAAATATAAAAAACAGAATGTCCATCATGGGAATGAGTTGTCCGAAACTAGCTCGCGAAACGTAAAACAGACAAAAATCAAAACAAGAAGGGAAGGCTTTTGGATTCGGTGATCCGATACCTCGAATGCCCTTGCTGTCACTTGAAATAGGGGAGTACTTGAGAGATATTCAATCTGCTGCTTAAACTGATCTAAAAGGGAAAGGAAACTGGACATAAAACAGTCAAATGTGAGGGCAGCGGCAGCCCAAAGAATTCAGTATTCAAATTTGTCTAACATTTTGAGAATAATTTGCAATTTAATGACTTCTAGTCTAGACATGTATTTTGAAAATGTTTCATTGGCACAATAGAATATTTAGAACATTAGTCAATTTTATGAATGAAACCTTTGTGGTTCAATGAACTAAATATTGAATGTTGTCATAAGGCATTTAATGGTTTTTTCCTCATAAACTCCAACACTGATAAGGATTTGAAATGCACAAGATTAGGAAGATCAAAACAGATACGATCTCTATCCCCAAAAGGCTAAAGGTCTCAAGACCCAAAAACATGCTTGGGGACAGACTATTTGTGAATGAACCTGAACTATAACTTTTCGTGCGTCAAAGGGGAATTTGCATCAAATTTGCGTTAATTCCACGAAAAAATTTAAAAAAACAAAAGCCAAAAATACATCTATATTAAATATCATTCGAAATCAATTCAAGAACCCCTCAAAAACCTTCATTTATCATACGAAACTCATCGTCTGCTAGCTGCCCTAATAGGCCTCACTAATATGTGGATAAACAATTATAAATTATGAATATTATTCGAATTATCCCCCTCAGCGACCACCCTGTGCGATAGCAGCAGCACCACAGCTGGGGCGCTACACAGATGCTCGACACAAGATACAAATCATATCGTATCGAATCGAATGCTTAATCTAAATGACAGCCTATCGTGACTCTTTGTGTCTGCTCGAGCCACTCAAGTCCACACCTCAGGTGGCGATAGACTAGCATGTCTCATTAATATTAATAAGGCCCAGCCGGCGAACGGCGACCTGCCCAAAATGTATCTCCAAAGAAGTATCTATGTATCTTTTGTGTCGTTACTCCATCTGTTTCCATCTATGCCGTGGCCAAAGGCTTGTTTATGTCTCTGGTTTTTTTTTGAATACAGCATCTTGCGTAGGGTATTGCCAGTTTATGCAGAAGTTTGTATGTTTTAATCGTATATCGGAATGGCAGGGTTTTTGTCCTATTTCAGGATGAAAGCTTAAGTAGTGTCTGTCTCAAAGAAAAGGGTTTTGTTTTCAATAAGAACATTGTTTACGAGATGTGTTTAAGTATTGTGATTGTTGTCTTATTGTCAATTAATAATTACAAAATTAATATTTGTTACAGCCATCTATGATCTATGGAAAGTGTATCAAAAACTTCGTTCCTCTCGAAAGCTCGACCGCCATTCGATTAAGGTTGCCATAGTTTCTGTTGGGTCTGTTGAGTGGTGATAAATTGCTTTTATTTATATTAGTTAAAATATAATCTTTGGCGCCATTAATTTAGTTGTGCGTATTAATTGCTGCTGATCTTTGTAGACCGATCTTTGTTTTTGCTTTATTTGCATTTACATTTCAAGTTTTTCAAGTCGTTTTTCCTTCGTTTTCTTTGCCCAGATCGTGGTGGGTTCTTTGTTGGCGCCTCTTGCCTTTGCCTTTAGCTTTTTGCCTTTCTGTTTTTGACAGCAGAAGCGTGCTCGTGTTTGTTATTTGTTTTTGTGCTTGGTGGCTTTGATTAATTTACCTTCGGTCTGCGAACAGAAGCAGCTCAGCATCGATTTGGTTTCTTTTTTCGAGGTATTAATTTATGAAAATGTTAATTAATTTGTCAGGCGCTGACAGCCGTCGAGGCGGCCACAAATTACTTGATAAATAGTCTCGGATTCGGAACGACTATTCTTTCCTTCTCCAAACCAAAGCTATCTTTGAAATTTATGTGATCTGAAAAAATACAGTTAACATCTCGGCGGCAAAGATGGCTGACAAGGAAAAAAAGGATGAGGCACAGGAAGAGGAGTCGCATCATGAGGTATATACCCCGGTGCACACGCCTGAACCCAGTGCATCCGTTCCCGAGCGCACCATTCTGCGCACAGCCATCAATCCGGATGCAGGACACCAGCATCCAGATGCTACCATATCCTTAAACGTGGACGACGACGACAACGAAATAGACATCGAGGAGCGGCCCTCCGACACCGAATCGATCAGGCAGCTGCGCCAGCGCAGGAGACGATTCCAGGAGTTGCGTCGCGATCACTACAATCGAATGTACTATGACGAGGGCAGCATTATTCATGGATCACACTGTCTGGATCCAGAACCAACTGATATTGAGGTTTCCAGTGACAATGCCAATGAGGGGGAGGTTGAGAAGGAGAAAGGGAAGCCCGAGGATAAGGATAAGCCGAAAAAGTGACGACGAGAAGCATATTTTAGGCCTTTTAGGCCCTCCCACCAATAAACTTCCTGACTTCTATGCCTCGCGCACCCTCAGTCTCTCTCCCAGAGTAGCTTAGTTAGCTCTTAGCTCTTCCACTCACCTGGCAAATGCTCCGACGGTTATGTCGCCATTGTGGCTGCTGTTGCTGCCGGGACTGAGGCGTTCTCTCTTCACGCCAAGGCTCATGTGCTGCTGCTGACTCGATTGATGGTTGCCAAGGCTGCCGCTGCCGCTGCCGCTTCCGCTACCACAGTTCATGCTGTTGCCACTGCTACTGTTGTTGTTGTTGATGGTGTTGTTGTTGTTGTTATTGTGTATGATCACCATGGGCGAGGCATCCATGTGGCCACCATCCTTGTGGGCATCCATATGCGACAGTGGCGACATCTTTTCGTTCTTGACCTTCTCCAGATAGAGGGCGGCATAGGCCGCCGCAGCTGCTGCCGCCGTGGTCGCCGCCGGACTGGAGGACGTTGACGATGCTGAGGAGGTGGCTGTGGCAGTGCTGTGGCTGGGTGTCGTGGCCTGATTGGAGTTGCCACCACCCGCGTTGCCACCTCCGGTGGCCGCTTCGCTCAGCTTCTTGGCGGTGCTCTCGATGGCCGCCCCATAACCGCTCAGCAGCAGTGATCGTTCGCTGAGCATTTTCGCTGCAGAGGGGGTGGAGGAGAACGGTTCGGAGAGGAGCTGGGAGCGTAAATCGCTGGCCAGACGCTCCAGATGTTTCCGCTTGTTGGAGCTGGAGCTGGAGCTGGAGGTGGAGCTGGTGGTGGCCGCCGCCGAGGAGCCAAAATGATGCTCGTCGCGGGTCGCCGGTTGCGTTGCACTGCGACCACCCACAATCGCTGTTGTGGCCTTGGCTGGCTTCTGCTGCAGTATGTCGGTGGGTGCGTTACCTGCAACACGGACAAAAAGATACGGACAGAATTAGACTCACACCTTAAACTTCGTCTTATTCTCATACCCCAGAGGCAGGAGGCACTGCCAAGTGCGTGTTTGTACCCCAACGAAAGCTTACTGACAGCCAAACCAGACAGAAACGAAAAAGTGTCTGCTGTAAAAGCTCGAGTCGTAGAGTCGAGTCACATGCAAATCGGCCAAAGGTTAAAATAACTTATAATATGTTAACAAAACCATTGACCTGCAATGTTGAACCCCTAAGCTAATTATCGGGGTGACTGGGTGCCGACACCCCGAGAGAGTGCGAAAAGTGCACAACACACAACGCATCCGCGCAGTACTCGTAGTACAGACAGTAGAGAACACAAAAGAATATGTATCTAGTACAGTGCGGTACGGTATTCTATGGTGGGGAATATTGACAGTGGATTAGCAATAGAAGAGTGGAAAATGTATAAAAGTTGAGGTGATCATTGTAAGAGTTTGAAATAAATGTTGAAAATGCATAAAGGGTACTCAAGTAGAGGGTTTTTTTTTTATCTTGAGCTTCTATCAATTATCTCTATGATCAATTGGTAAGAGTACAAAACATTCCATACAAACACCTCCTCAGATCTACTACATTCAATCATATAACCATTCGTATATTACATATATAAAGACAATGTCACATTCGCATACATTGATCTTTTATGGTGCGGTTGAAACTTCCGTCGCAGACAGCCTGCCTGGGTAGATCAGCGGCAGGGGCAGGGGCAGGGGCAGGGGCAGGGCGCATAAATTGTTTATTTATCGTATCTTGTGTATCTCTATACATTTCAGTTATTTACTTTTGGTAGCATATACATACATAATTTAATTGTAATTTAAATGGCAAACATTAAAAAGCAAATACGTGTATCGATGCGTGCACACAAGCATTGACCTTTAGCTGTCCGCTGGCAGTGGCAGTGGCAGTGGCCAGGGCCAGGGAGAGGCAGTAAGGAAGAGAGCAACCCAAAGCCCAAGCCCCCCGCCAGTAGGTGTAAATTAATGGAAGCCACACCGGGGACAGACCAAAATCCAACACACACACACACACACACAACTCCAGACCTTCCTTTTTGCTTTTCTCGCATGTTTAGCAACCAAAGCACACAGCATAAATAATTAAATGAAATATTTACAAGCGAAATTAACAACAATTTGTAGTTTTAAGCTCGTTACGATCCCCAATCGGTATCGGAATCGAACAATCAAAGCCAGAAACAGAAACAGTATCATAGTTCGGGAATTGCATGGCAGATCTCCTGCGGATTGGTTTCATATCAAATTTCACCTCTCTCGGATTGAGATCCGATTCGATTGGCGATTGGAATATGCGTATATATAGTAGGCTGTTTAATAAGTTAGTCGTGCGTTATCATAAAATTAAGTTTATCATTGGTTAGCATAGAAATTAAGTTGTGGGGGGCATACAAACAAAAACGACGAAGAGAGAAAGGGCAAACCGAAAACAACCGCCCCAAAGTGGTTAAACAGTGGAGGAATATTACTGAAATAAGGTTTTTGAACATGAATTTGTTCATGGGTAATATCTAATTCTTAAAGTTGTGCGTTTTAATTCAATTCAATTTTTTTTAAGAATTTTAAATCAACTTATAACTTCCTGCAAAAACATTCTCATTCGCATGCTCTTGCCCCACTGTGCCTGGCATTTGGGATTGGATATTTTTGTCGTAGATCGTTCGCTCGCTCAGCACTCCCCATAGACCCCATCAATGGCCGGGGCCCGGCTGGCTGTGGCTGATTGGCATCGCTTGGTGCCAATGGTGCTAAGTGCCGAATGCCGAATGTCGAAAGCCGATGATGATGTGGAGGGAGGGCCAACAGCGACCGCAACGGACCCAGAACGATGAGGAAGGTGAGGGCACGGAGAGATACAGTTTGACTGAGAGAAAGAGAGTGAGAGAGACAGGGTGTGAGGGGGGGGCCGATACCGAGACCCAACATGTGCCATGCGCGACACTGTTGACTTTTTCCAAGTGTGGATGTTATGTTTATACCCGTCACTCGTGGCTCACAAGGGGTATGTTGGGTTCTACCAGAGATGGTACTTCAAGCAGGTAAAAGTTGGAAGATATATTTATATATATATATATATTTTCGATCATGGTTAACGTTGAAGTCTATTTTCTGTTAATTTTAATTGATTTTAAATGACTTTGACCTGTTGCTGTGCCCTTTAGTCTTCATAGCAGGGTATTCTCTTATCTCAACGATCTTTCTTTCATGCTTTTGTTTGTGTTGTTCTTGTCGTGCCCATACCTGAGCGTGTGATTGTGTGTGTGCGTATGCGTATCTGAGAATGATCCGCACAGTGACAGGCCGCATTTCGGCCGCGACGCGCCGCAACGCAACACGACGCTGGGTCGACAAGTGTCAATAGTACTAATAGACGACGCCGACATCGAAACTTAGGACCGAGCACGTTCACACATAGAGAAAGAGAGATGGAGAGAGAGAGAGAGAGCGAGACATAAGCTAGAAGCGCATTGAGTTCTTAAAACGGTAAAGTTCATTGCCATTTGGTACGAGATGGCAAACACAGCTGTCCGCCCAGTGTCGGATCGACCTGTCATGTGACCATTTTTCATGCATTGAAAATATATCTGCACTAATAACAATAATAATACATAAGGAGTAATTGTACGAATTTTGATAGATAGATTTCCCATTGAGTGGCAGCAGCTGCCTTTGATGGGTCACACACTCCAGCGTCTAGACACGAAAAGACCTTGTGGAAAAACCCTTAACCAGCCAATCATCGATAGTTGCTATTGCCCTCTCGTTGGCCTCCTGTGGCCCCCCGTCTGAACCCAGAGGCGACTGTTCGTCGGTCGCCCCATTTGACTTGCATGAATCAGTGGAGAGAGTCCAACGATGGCGGGTCCAATGGAGAGTTCAGTTTGAGGGCTTATCAGCTGATTCTCTTTCTGCTTTTGTTGTTTTTTGACCTCATTTAAAAACCAAATAGCCCCAGCAAAACGCAACCAAGAGCAATTCCCCCTTTACCCTTTATGCAAACTCTGCCTTTGTTATCGCCCTTCTACGGGGTGGACACAGGGTTCAACGCGTTCCATAACAAACATATTCTCGTATATAAAGAAGGTAATACTCGTATTGAGAAGTGCTGATAAATAGGGTCGGCCTGGTCGCGGCTCTGGTCTGGTCTCTGGTCTCTGGTCTCTGGGAAGCACTCATATCAGGGAGAGACGGGAAATGATTCGGTATAAAGCGACCCTGAACCGATTTATGTGACGAACTCAATTCGGTTTGGCCTCTTGATCGTTGAGCTTCGCTATTTTCCACAATACTGTTCTGTTCTGTTCTGTTCTGTTTCTCTTACGCTCTTTCTTATGTTTCCTTTACTCTCCTTTATTCTTTTTTTTTGTCACATTCTTATAGATAAACATTTATAGAGGTCTATCTATCAGTATCTATCTATCTGCCTCGTTCCTCAGTTCGAGTTCAGTTTCAGTTTCCTTTTTACGTGATTTCTTGTATCTCAAGTGCTGTGCTCTCTGGCCGTTGGGGTCTTATCGCACTCTGCCTTGTTTGTCCAAGTGCCGGTTGAACTATATACTCGTATGTATGTGTAATGATGATGATGTGTGGGGGCTTAGTACACTCTCATATATGGCCTTCTCATGGTTCATCATGTTTTCTCTGTGTGTTTGTTTCTGCTGCTCTCAATTCTTTTCGGGTTTTCGAAAATCATGTCGCATTTATTAGATCATCAAAAGGTGTTAAAGATTGTGCCCCGTTTCACTGATAATATTTTGGCCCTGCCCTGGCCTTTTGTGTGTGTGTGTGTGTTCCCCCTCTGTACGAGTATCCGTAGCTCCAGTTCAATTGTTGTGTGTGAAAGTAATTCAAAGTTCATTAGAGATCTCTCGCGGCTGACTGTTGATTTTTCATTTACCTCGCGACTTGGCCAGAATTTACCCCAAGTTTTTTGCTGCCATATAATCGTATTTGAGTTTCATATATAACCGTAAAAAGTGGCCCCTTATCTTTATGGCATAGCAATTCTCGGAGGGCATGACATTTGATTCAACAACACAATGTGGAAATTACCCAAAAAACAAAACAGAAATCTCAGCGAATTGGTAATCCTCGCAAGTTCAATGGCTTGTGGCAAATGTTAATGATTCAGGGTGGGGTTTACTTTAAGAGTAAATGTGATCTTTGGATTGTATTTAGGGTACCATACGATTAATAAATAAAATACTACATAACGAATTATACCTCCCCATCAAAACCATTAATCGTTTTCCTCCTAATTAAATTTCTTAAGGCTTAAGTTCGACCCATACCAATCCATACCACAATTATTTGATTAAAAAGCCAACACCAAATTGCCGTCAAGTGATGGAAATGGGAATTCCAAAAGGAAAAGCCAGACCGGAGAATGATCTGAAACTGGAACAGCCTCCATTGGTGCGGCCTCAAAGTGAAGCAACCATTGGACAACCGCAGAAAGCGTTGCACTAACGGTTCATGACACTGTGCTGCTCCCCACAGAGGTCCACCAGTAAATTGAAATTTCAAATCAAACCAGAGCGCGCCACAAGACGGAAATGGCAATAGTTTCTCTCTTTTTTGTTTCGTTCAACATTCTGCAACTCTTTATAACGGCTGCCGCAAAAAGTCTAGTGAACAAAAAGAAAAAATGGCCAAGAACCGAAGGAAAAATTTCATAAATTATTAACACCTCTGCCATTTGAACTGGACAAACTGGAAACCGTTCCGCGATTGTATCTGTATCTGTGGCTTTGGCTGTGCATCTGTATTTATATCTGTGTGTGTCGCGCCTCTCTTTGCGCTTCCCATTGAGGTAAGCTGCTGGTGCTGGCCGGGCTGTCGGATCGCCTGGCCCATGTCTTCGTACTGCATAATTGCTTTAATGGAATTTGATTTTTACCCAACCTCTCAACACGCTCAACAGCCATAG